TATGTACGTATGTACGTATGTACGTATGTACGTATGTACGTATGTACGTATGTACGTATGGATGGGTGGTTGGTGCATGGATGGATGCATGGATGCATGGATGGATGGATGCATGGATGGATGGATGGATGGATGGATGGATGGATGGATGGATGGATGGATGGATGGATGGATGGATGGATGGATGAATGAATGGAAGGATGGATGGATAGATGGGTAAATGGATAAATGGATGGATGGATGGAAATCAGGATGAATAGACTGACGGACGGACGCACGAACAGAAAGATAGATAGACAGACAGATGTGCAGACAGATAACCAGGTAGATAGGTAGACAGGTAGACACATAGGCACACAGGACGTATCGGCGTCTCATGACTCCCACGCACCCCCTCGTCATCCTTCCCCCCACCGACAGCATGCTCGGAGCGTCCGTATTTACCCACTAGTTTACGCACAACCGTTTGTTAATGCTCGACTGCCGCTGCCACGGCGCACACGCCCTCCCTACTACTATAGTACTATACACACTGGCCACTCACTGGCTACCATTGCTCGTGTGTATTTGCGTGCTCCCGCCCACGCATTGCCTTCCCTCACACAAAGCCGCGAGAGAGACGTAAATCGCTTGATAGCGCGCGGTGTGTTATGATTTATCATAAATTATATCGTGCAAGGTCATCCCGTAGCTGCGAGCGTATATCACATATGTGCTCTTTATATATACGCTGTTATACCATGGTTATAACGCGAAATCTCGTGTGTGTGTGTGTATTGTGCGATTTATATCTATAGTTACACACATCTTACATGTTACCCATTTTTTATCTACATATCTTATGCCATTTTTTGCCTTACGATATAGAAAATGAAACGCGACTATAGATTTGATATGCTGCACACGTTATTTCACATCTTTTATAGTCACCGATGGTGTCTTCGTGTGTGTGTGCGTGCGTGCGTGCGTTAGTGCGTGCGTCTGTGCGTGCATGCGTGTGTAAATACGCGCGCGGTATATTGTGTTTTATATCTCTATATTGACACACACCGCCCGCGACCCTCACACATATACATTTTTCGCCATGGATCATCGTCTTACGCCTTATACGATATAAATCCTCTATGTGTGCGTGTATGTTGTGGAGTATATGTGTTCGGTGGTTACTCGCCCTGCGTGGCAGCACCTCGTCATCGCTCCTCCGCCCACGCTAACGCTGATCGCGGTAATCACCGGCAGAGCGTTTCACGACCAGCGTTCGGCGAACTAAAGATGCGAGTTCGGTGCGATTAGGTGCCGATATACGCGCGCTCGTAACTCACTCGTCCCGCGTGCGACGCAGTGATACAGTAGTGTGTGTGTGTGTGTGTGTGTGTGTGTGTGTGTGTGTGTGTGTGTGTGTGTGTGTGTGTGTGTGTGTGTGTGTGTGTGTGTGTGCGTGTGTGTACGCAGTGGGACAGCAGGATGAGTCACATGCTGAGGGCGTGACCGGCCGGCAGCCTGCGGGACTGTTCTACTGGCACGCTGAGCGACTCACCGCATCACTCGGACCAGCCCACCGCCAACACCAACACCACCGCCACCACCACAATCACCACCACCATCACCACCACTATCACCACCACCAGCACCAGCACCAGCACCATCACCATCACCATCACCAGCACCACCACCACAACCGCTACCACCAGCACCACCACCGCTACCACCATAGAGTGTCGTACTAAGGGGGCGTGGCACTACGGAGACGTGGCACTATGGGTGTGGTGCTATGAACGATAGCAATAGAGGTGTGGCACTAAAGGGTTGTGAGATTAAGGGGGTGTGACACTAAGCGGGTATGGTATTAAAGGGCGTGGCACTAAAGGGGTGTGACACTAAAGGGGTGTGGTACTAAGGGGGTGTAGCACTAGGGGGTGTAGCACTAAGGGGCATGGAACTAAGGGGGCGTGGTGCTGAGATGGTGTAGCGAGGCCGACTAAGGAGAACGGGAAGGAAAATAGTAGCCGCGTATCGCATTATATATTAATTATATAATTATGTTAATTAGGGATGATTTCGCGGCGCGTTTCTTTGGCTGTGCATTGGAAGACACATGCTAGAAGACATTAGCGGAGTGATTTTACTATCAGTATAGGTCGTGTCTCTCCGACTTTGATCGATCGGCTGTGCATCGCAGGCAGTAAGAGAGGGAGATAGAGAGAGAGGGAGAGAGAGAGAGAGAGAGAGAGAGGAGAGAGAGAGAGAGAGAGAGAGAGAGAGAGAGAGAGAGAGAGAGAGAGAGAGAGAGGAAGGAGAGAGAGAGAGAGAGAGAGGAGGAGGAGAGAGAGAGAGAGAGAGAGAGAGAGAGAGAGAGAGAGAGAGAGAGAGAGAGAGAGA